GTCTAACCAGTCCCAGTGAGATAAACCTGGTATCTCAGTTGGAAATGCAGAGATCACTCACTTTCTGGATCACTCTCACTAGAAACTGCAGACTGTAGCTGTTCCTCTTCAGCCATCTTGGTGAAGTCACCTCCCATATGTTTTTTTTCTAGGAATTTTATTGTTTCAGGCCTTATATTTAAGTCTTTAATCCATTTTTAGTTGATTTTTGTGTATGTTTAAAATAAGAATCCAATTTCATTCTTTTGCATATGGATATCTAGTTTTCCCAACACCATTTATCAAAGAGACTATCCTTTCTCCATCGTGTAGTCTTGGCACCCATGTTGATGATCTTTTGGCTGTAAATGTGGAGTTTATTTCTAGGCTCTTCATTCTGTTCCATTGTTCTATATGTTTAGCTTTATGCCGGTACTATACTGTTTTAATTACTTTAACTTTGTAATATATTTTGAAACCAGGAAGTGGGAGACCTCTAGCTTTGTTGTTCTTTCTCAAGATTATATTTGGCTATTGGGGGTCCTTTGTGATTCCATATGAATTTTAGAATTCTTTCACCCTATGTCTGCCAAAAGCAAACCATCGGGATTTTGATAGGGATTGCACAGAATCTGTAGATTATTTTGGTTAGTATGGGCATTTTAATAACATTTGTTCTTCCAACATATGAACATGGTTTGTGTTTTTAACTTCTTTCAGCAATGTTTTATAGTTTTCAGTAAACAAGTATTAGTTCTAGTTCCTTGAGGTGTAAAGTTAGGTAACTTATTTGAGAGATTTTCTTTTTGAACATAGATATTACTGCTATAAACTTTCATCTTAGAACTGCTTTTGTTGTAGCTAGTAAGTTTTCGTATGTTGTGTTTTCATTTTCATTTGTCTCAAGCTATGTTCTAGTTTTCTTTTTGATTTATTATTTAAAAAAAAATTTTTTTAGAGACAAGGTCTCATACTGTTGCCCTGACTGGAGTGCAGTGGCACCTTATTAGCTTACTACAGACTCAAACTCCTAGGTTCAAGCAATTCCTGCTTTAGCTTGGGATTATAGGTGTGGGATACTGCACCAGGTCTGACTTATTCTTTAAACTTTGGTTGTTCAAGAATGTGTTGTTTGATTTCCACATATTTGTGAATTTTCTAATTTTCCTTCGGCTATTGATTTCTAGTTTTATTCCATACAGTTGGAAAAGATCTGTTGTGATTTCAATCTTCTTAAATTTACTGAGATTTGTTTTATAACCTAACATGTGATCTGTTCTAAAGACTGTTCCATGTGCAGTTGAGAAGAATGTGTATTCTGCTGCTGATGGGTGGAATGTTCTGCACGTATGTCTATAAGGTCCATTTGGTCTATAATGTTGTTCAAGTCGTCTGTTTCTTTACTGATTTTCTGTCTGGATATTCTATCCATTTTGACAGTAGGGTATCGAAATCTCCAACTGTTATTGTGTTGTCTGTTCTTCCTTTGGTTCTGTCAGAGCTTCCTTCATTTATTTGGGTGCTCTGATGTTGGGTTATAAAAGAACACATGTAAGTGTTCTATCTTCCATGTGAATTGACCCTTTTTTCATTATATGATGTCTTTGTCTCTTGTGACAGTTCTCAACTGAAAGTCTATTTTGTCTGATGTAAGTCTAACCACCCCTGCCCTCTCTTGGTTACCTTTGCATGGAATATATTTTTCCATCCTTTCGCCTTCAGCCGATGTGTGTCCTTAATTTCTAAAACTAGTCTTTTGTAGAAAGCAAATAATAAGATCTTGTTTATTTTGTTAATCCATTTAGCCACTCTATATCTTTTGATTGGAACATTTAATCCATTTACATTTAAAGTAATTACTGACAGAGAGAGACTGGGTGTTGCCATTTGTAAACTGTTTTCTGTCTCATGGCTTTTTGTCTCTCTTTTCCTCTTTTGCTGTCTTCCTTGTGTTTGACTCCCCCTCCTAGTGGCAACATACTTCAATTCTTTTCATATTTTCTTTTGTGCAACTTCCATAGGTATTTGCTTTGTGGTAACTGTGGGCTAACACCAAACATCTTAAAATTTTAACCACCTATTTTAAGCTGATAAATTAATTTCCATCATAACTAAAAACACTTCCCCCCCAACATTGTTATTGTTGTCACAAATTACATTGTTATATTATGCATCCATTAATATATTTTTATATTTATAGCTACTTTTTATACTTTTGCCTTTTAACTTCTATACCAGAATTAAAAGTGATTTACATACCATCATTACAGTATTCTGTATTTGCCAATATCTTTATCTTTACTAGTGGGCTTTATACTTTCATATGCTGTCTAGTGTCCTTTTGTTTCAAAGAGAAGGATTTCCTTTAGTATATCTTTTTATTTTCTTTCTTTCTTTCTTTTTTTTTTTTTTTTTTGAGACAGAGTCTCGCTCTGTTGCCAGGCTGGAGTATATATAGTGGCAGGATTTCAGCTCACTGTAACCTCCACCTCCATGGTTTAAGTGATTCTTCTGCCTCAGCCTCCCAAGTAGCTGGGACCAAAGGTGCATGCCACCACACACGGCTAATTTTTGTATTTTTAGTAGAGACGGGGTTTCACCATGTTGGTCAGAATGGTCTCGATCTCTTGACCTCGTGATCCATCTGCCTTGGCCTCCCAAAGTACTGGGATTATAGGTGTGAACCACCAAGCCCGGCTCCTTTAGTATATCTTGTAAGGTAGGTCTAGTGGTGATGAACTTCCTCAGCTTTTGTTTATCTAGCAAAATCTTTAGTTTCTTTTATTTTTGAAGGACAGTTTTTCCAAAAATAGTATTCTTGATTAGAAGATTTTTTTTTTCTTTTAGCCCTTTGAATATGTCATACTTTTTCCTGTACTACAAGATATCTACTGAGAAATCTACTGGCAGTATTATGGAAGTTCCCTTATACATGATGAGAATCTTTTCTCTTCTTTCAAAATTCTGTCTTAGACTTTTGACAATTTGATTATAATGTGTGTTGATATGGACTTTTTTGGGTATATCTTAGTTGGGGTCCATTAGACTTCTTGAATCTGGGAAGACATTTTCCTCCCCAGATTTGAGAAGCTTTTGGCCATTCTTTTTAAAAAGCTTTCTATCCGTTTTTCCCAGTCTTCTTTTGAGACTCCCATAATGCATATACTGGTCAGCTTGATGATATCCCGTAAGTCTCTTAGGCTTTCTTCACTCTCTCTCATTCTCTCTTTCTTTTTGCTCCTTTGACTGGATAATTTCAAATGATGCATCTTCAAGCTCACTGATTTTTTCCTGTTGAACTCCTCTAGTGAATTTTTTCAGTTCAGTTATTGTATTCTTCAGCTCCAAAATTTGTTTGCTTCTTTTTCATATTTTCTGTATCTTTTTTGATATTCTCATTTTGTACATATGTCATTTTCCTGGGCTTGTTGAGCGTCCCAGGGAGACTTTGAAAGATGCGGATTCCCAGACCCTATTAGCAGAGATTCTGATTCAGTAGGTATAGGGTTGGGGCCTTAAAAACTGTATTTTTCCTTTCTTTCTTTCTTTTGAGATGGGGTCTCACTCTGTCACCCAGGCTGGAGTGCAGTGGCATGATTTCAGCTCACCACAACCTCTGCCTCCTCGGTTCAAAAGAGTCTCCTGCCTCAGCCTTCTGAGTAGCTGGGATTACAGGTATGTGCCACCATGCCCAGCTAATTTTTTAGTTTTTAAAAATTTTTTTAGTAGAGATGGAGTTTTTGCATGATGGTCAAGCTGGTCTCGAACTCCTGACATCAGGTGATCCCCAACCTTGGCCTCCCAAAGTGCTGGGATTACAGGCATGAGCCACCAGGCCCAGCTTTTCTTTTTTAGAGTCTGTCACTCTTGTCGCCCAGGCTGGACTGCAATGGCACGATCTCAGCTCACTGCAAACTCCACTTCCTGGGTTCAAGCAATGATCTTGCCTCAGCCTTCTGAGTAGCTGGGATTACAGGTACCCGCCACCATGGCCAACTGATTTTTATATTTTAGTAGAAATGGAGTTTCACCATGTTGGCCAAGCTGGTCTTGAACTACTGACCTCAGGTGATCTGCCCACCTCAGCCTCCCAAAGTGCTGGGATTACAGGTGTGAGCAATGGCGTTAAAAGCTATATTTCTTAAAGATCCTCCAAGTGGTTCAGATATACACTGAGGTTTGGAAACCACTTCCAGTAAAAAGACCACCTTCAATCTCTATCCCTTTCCTTATATAAACTCTAGGAAAGTGGGGAGGGATTGAAGGTAGTTTTTTTACTTTATATATGCTCTAGGCTTACATAGAATTTTAAAAATATAAGCTTCTGGGAAGTGAATAGAAAATGGATAGAATATCCAGACAGAAAATCAGTAAACAAATCAGGACTTGAACAACACTATAGACCAAATGGACCTTACACACATACATGCAGAACATTCCACCCAACCGCAGCAGAATACACATTTTCCTCAGGTGCACATAGAACAGTCTTTAGGACAGATCACATGGTAGGTTACAAAGTAAGTCTCACCTCTCCAAGGTGCCATTTTCTGCTTAGCAGTACTCCATTTCTTTGTATCATTTGAAGGTTCTTACAACCCTCCTACCTCCAGGCTGCCTTTCTGTATTGAATCTCGGCTGACCATGAGTTTCCTAAGACTCTCTGCAACCCTCCTGACCCCGAAATGTGGATATGCTTTCCATTTATGTATTAATTTGGTGTTTCCACTCTGTTGGCTTGCTACCTAAGTCTTAGGCCACTGCTGCGTAGAGAGCCTCTGGACGAGGTCTGTCTTAACTGCTTCATTATTATTTGATGACAATGATAGTGAGTATAGCAGGGATGGAATTCTGGAGACCCAGGTTCAAGCCTCTGTTCTACAGTATAACCTTGGATAAATTCTGTTCCCTCTCTGAGCCTCAGTTTCCTCATCTGCAAAGTGAGGGGTATATATATGGTCTCTGAAGTCCTCCTCTATAGGCTCTAACTTTCTCTTTCGTCCTTTTATTCACTGGTATAGCTGAGGAGGTGGAACTCCAGAGACACTCCTGAAATTGTCCTAAGTCAAAGGAGCCAAACAGTGCACCAGCTCCCTCTCTGCCATCCCCTCTGAGAGCAGCCATGGCCCTGAGTGATGTCGATGTGCAAAAGAAGATTAAGCACATGATGGCTTTCATTGAGCAGGAAGCCAGTGAGAAAGCAGAGGAAATCGATGCCAAGGCTGAGGAGGAGTTTAACATTGAGAAAGGACGCCTTGTGCAAATCCAACGACTGAAGATTATGGAGTATTACGAGAAAAAGGAGAAGCAGATAGAGCAGCAGAAGAAAATCCAGATGTCCACCATGAGGAATCAGGCAAGGCTGAAAGTCCTGAGAGCCCGAGATGACCTCATCTCAGATTTGCTCAGAGAGGCAAAGCTGAGGCTCAGCAGGATTGTAGAGGACCCAGAAGTCTACCAGAGGCTGCTGGATAAACTGGTGCTCCAGGGTCTGCTCCGACTGCTGGAACCTGTGATGATTGTGCGCTGCCGGCCACAGGACCTCCTCCTAGTGGAGGTTGCAGTGCAAAAGGCCATCCCCGAATACATGACAATTTCCCAAAAACACGTGGAGGTCCAGATTGATCGAGAGGCATATCTGGCTGTGAATGCAGCTGGAGGTGTGGAGGTCTACAGTGGCAATCAGAGAATAAAGGTTTCAAATACCTTGGAAAGTCGACTGGATCTCTCAGCCAAGCAAAAGATGCCCGAAATACGAATGGCCTTGTTTGGTGCTAACGCCAATAGAAAGTTTTTTATATAAACCTCTGGGAAGTGAAGCTCATGGTGAACCACGATATCGTAAAGGTCTAAGTTTTTGGGGCAAAGGAAACTAGTAGTGTTTCCTCCTCTTTGATGCTCTGATATTGTTCTGTTTTTCTTCATGAAATGCCCTCTAATAGCTAAAATGTTAACTTTGAAATAAAGCCCAAATTAATGCCCAGAATTCAAATTTCATTTCATCCATACACAGCACAGCTTCTGGTCTATTCTGCAGTTGGGATAAAGGGAGTGATGACGTCTGCTCTTCAGCTTGGCCTCAGGTGGTCAAAGCGTGATGTGTGAATAGTGTTCTTGGCCTGTGGATCTGGGTGCTCCAATTTAATATGCATATGAAATGTGTTCTTTTGTTTCAGCTTCAGCACCCACACATATTATTTAATGAGGTCTAGAGATCTTTCTCACATGTCCAGAACCAACTTCATGGGCATCCAACCAGCACCGTCACACAGGGGCCCATGCTCAGAAGGGCCCAGCATCTGGGGTGTAGTGATCTGTATTTGCTGCCCTGAAATTCCTAATTTCATCTTTGGAGCTATGTTTTGTAAGTGATGGTTGATAGGACATTGGGGCATATGCCAGGAGTTTGGAGCTTTGGCTCACACATGGGACTGACTCCCAAAGCCTACCCACTTTCTTGGGATGGGTTGTTGGCCAACCAATCCCCAGCCCCCTGGTGCCCTGAGGTCCAGCCTTCCTCTAACTCACCCCTTGAGCATTACTTCCCTCTGCCCCTGGCAGGGGCCTGGTGTGCATGCAGGGAGGGTCAGAGAGGGGTTTCATGCTCTGTGGAGTTTTAGGGTCAGACATCCCTGCCCAAGACCAGCAGTTCTGTGGCACATTCAGTAGAAAACTCAGGGGGAGGGGTGAGTCTCTTACCCATCAGATACTGAGCCTGTCTTGTGTAGAGGTTTAAAGATCCTTCAAATTACCTGTCTGCCATAGGGCAGCCAGCCCACTGGAAGGAGAGATGCCAGCTCAACTTCCCCGATCCTGGCCCACGCACCACACTGGTGGCTGGTGGGAAGGGGGACTCAACCACTGCCCAACTTGCTACGCCAAAATCTCAGGGCAGGACCCTCAAGAGCTTGTAAGTGTCTGCACTTGGCCTGCAAAGTATCCCTGTGCCTGGCAGGGTGCTCCCTTGGATAGTTCGGTGCCTGGGGGAATTTGGATGCATCTCTTCTGGCCAGTGTGAGGCACCTTCTGGAAGGAGCCAAGAAATACAGATTATATAATTTTGGTGACTCAGCATATGGGCATTGCACAATAAAAAATAAACGGTAGAATTCATGCTAATAATTTAAAGTAAATTTTCTTTGCTTAGGAAGATATTAAATAGAAAAAAAAAAAAAAAAAAAAAAAAAAAAAAAAAAAAAAAAAAAAACCCACTAGGAAAAGTCAAGAAAATACCACAGAAGAAAGGAAAAAGCTTTATATTTTACTGCCGTTCATGGCACTTCTCTTCTGCTTTTGAACAAAGGATCTCACATTTCTTTTTTCTTTTTCTTTTTCTTCTTTTTTTTTTTTGAGACAGAGTTTTGCCACTGTTGCCCAGGCTAGAGTGCAATGGCGCGATCTTGGCTCACTACAACCTCCGCCTCCCGGGTTTAAGCAATTGAACTGGGTTCCTCCTGGGTTCCTGCCTCAGCCTTCCAAATAGTTGGGATTACAGGTGCATGCCACCACAACTGGCTAATTTTGTATTTTTGGTAGAGATGGGGTTTCACTGTGTTGGCCAGGCTGGTCTCGAACTCCTGACCTCAGGAGGTGATCCACCCACCTTGGTGTCCCAAAGTGCTGGGATTACAGGTGTAAGCCACTGTGACTGGCCAGAACTCACGTTTTCGTTTTGGACTGGGCTCTGCAAATTACATAGCTGGTTCTCCATGTGTATGTGTGATTTAAGGTCTAATCCATGCCTGATGTTCCTTTATTTATTAAAATAGAATTTTTTTTTGAAGAAAAGAGATCCCAAGATACTCTGCTGAGGCCAAAGGTTGGCCTGTGTGGTTAGGACTCTGTAAGGAACAGAAACTTCATGAAACTCAAACACAAAGTAGGGGACAGGCTACTAGTACGCGGGGGTGTCTTGCAGAATCTAGAAGAGGAATCCTTCATGATCTCAGGAGATGGCTGGAATTGGGATTCAGAAAGCCATCTGCAACCTTCTATATGGCCACTTTTCTTTCTTTAAGGAGTGACTTTCTCTGTTGCCCAGTTTAAATGGTGGCGAATGCATGCCCCACAGTTCCAAAGTGGACATGTTATAGTTCCAGAAACAGACCTGCTTCTCTTGAAGTCCATTCCACTTTCCCAGGAGGGAATCTATTTGCCAGCTGGGGTCAGGTGTCTACCTATGGTCCAGTTGATGTCTGGGGAAGTTCCCAGAGAAAGAAGGGTTTTTGTCAGCTTTTGAGTTTCAATTTAGTCATTAAATGAACATTTTCTTTTCTTTTCTTTTCTTTTTTTTTTTTTTGAGACAGAGTCTCGCTCTGTCACCCAGGCTGGAGTGTGGTGGTGCGATCTAGGCTCATTGCAACCTCTGACTCCCAGGTTCAAGTGATTCTTCTGCCTCAGCCTCCTGAGTGGCTGGAAATACAGGTGCCTGCCACCATGCCTGGCTACTTTTTGTATTTTTAGTAGAGACAGGGTTTCACCATATTGGCCAGGCTGGTCTTGAACTCCTGACCTCGTGATCTGCCCACCTTGGCCTCCCAAAGTGCTGGGATTACAGGTGTGAGCCACCGTGCCTGGCCTCAAAAAACATTTTCTAAATGCCAATAAAGAGCCAGGCACTGTGCTGGGTACTGGGCTGCAAAGAAGAATATAATCTGGCTCTGTTCTTTAAGGAGTCATAGACATATAAACAGATGATGATCATGATAATGACACAATGTGGCAAGTGCCAGCCTAGTGCTGATGTGAAATCCTGTGGGAAGAGAGTGGCAGGAAGGGAGGGTAACCGAAGGGTTCCTGGGTGTTGGCAGTTGAGCTGGGGAAAGTGCTCCAGGTAAAGGAAGGAAAGCATGTGCCAAGGCCCTGAGGTGTGAAAATGTAGGGTGCATGAGAGTAGCTGCGTATAGTTCAGCGTGATGGAATGTGAGGGGTGAGGAGGAAGAGACTGTGGATGAAGCTGGAAAGAGGGGCCTCAATACAGGGTGTTGCTCTGGAGGTTGTTGGTGTTTTTTTGTTTTTGTTTCTTTGCGTATTTTTTTTTTTTTTTTTGAGACAACGTCTTGCTCTGTTACCCAGACTGAAGTGCAGTGGCATGATCTTGGCTCACTGTAACCTCAGCTTCCTAGGCTCAAGCGATCCTCCCACCTCAGTAGGTTACACAGGAAGTGGGAGCCAACTTTCCAGAAAGGGAGGGGCTGAGGGCTTGGTCCTGAGTAGCTGGGGCTACAGGCATTCGCCACCACACCTGGCTAATTGTTTTAATTGTTTGTAGAGATGGGTCTCACTGTGGTGGCCAGGCTGGTCTTGATCTTCTGGATGCAAGCAATCCTCCTGCCTCGACCTCCCAAAGTATTAGAATTATAGGCATGAGCCACCACGTCTGGCCGGGTCAGGAGTTTTGACTTAATTCTGGTGGGTGAGTGATCGTTGGTCACTGAGGGATTTTAAAAGTGAATGAAACAATGAGAGCTGAACTTTCGGAAAGATTATTCCAGTGTCACTGTGGAGGGAGGACACATTAATGCGGAGGAGAGACTGGAGGCAGGGCACCACTGGCGGGGGCTATTTATCAGCCTGGGTGAGAGGTGACAAATAATCTACCCAGCTCTTTTGTGAGGCAGGCGAAATTCATGATACAAAGGTGGGAAGAGACTGGAATCAGTGACTTCTGGCCTGTGCCTCCTCCCTTCCCCCACCTCAATATACTTTTTCACTTGTCCAGGCTTGAGGCTTTATGACAGTTTCATATCATCTTACAAGTTTTTCTTATGAGAGTCTCCCTACCCTCCAAGCTTTGCCCGCTCTCTCCTCACCATCATGGCAGGCCTAGCAAGCACCCACTTCCCAGCTGACCAAGCCTCCAGCCCCTCCCCTTCTGGGAAGTCAACCTGTACATCCTGCTGGAAGCCTGGAGGGTCTGAACCCCCTCAGCCTACCCTAGCTCTGGCCCCCTGAACCAACCTCAATCGTTAGCTGCCCCCAACATCAATTCATTCACCTTCAAAAAAAAAAACAAAAACAAAAACAAAAACAAAAAAAAACCTGTGACTGTCCATTGTAGGTTTTATGAAAGGTTTTGTGGGAAGTTGAGGAGAGCGTCCCATAGTATCTATAGAACAAACTTTCCCTGAAGTCCTATTTAAGCATCTCTGTTTTCCGACTTTTCTCTCTCCTGGAGCGGCCACACATTAGCTCTTTTCCCAGCCTTCTCCCTCTCAACCCTGTGGATTCCAGCCTTTTCCTCACCACGTTCCCTCAGCAACACAAAAGCCTTGGCCTCTCTGGACCTAGGGACTGTGTCTCTTATTGAGGACTTTTCATGCCCTGCTTTTCTTTACTATCAGCAGCTTTATCTACTCATCTCAACTTTTTACACGTCATTCCTCAAGTGTAGAGACTGTGTCTTTTCTCCTTTTTTGCATCCCCTGCTGCTGTGTTACTTTAGTGCCTGACATAGTAGGTTCTGAACAAGCATTGACCCTTGTTACATTCTTCTCTCCAGGCCTGCTCTGGGTGACGGATGGAGGACTGTAGAGCCCCTCTCCTCTTCTGGTCCATAGATTGGGCCATAAAAAAGGGCAAGGATATGAGATGGTGATCAGGGGAAGGGTGGTACATTGTATTCCAAGGATCCTTCTGGACCAGAAAATCCTCTGTTGCTCCCGGGAAAAGGCTGTGGATGGGAACAGCCTGAACTTCAGGCAGGATACACCCCTTGCCTCACTTTGGTCCAGGTCCAGGGCTTGGTTACCTCCTGGGGTTGCTTGAAGGTTTATTGCACCCTGTCCCTCCTTGGGAAACAGATGGGAGGGGCCTTGCTTTGTATGTGGGTGCAGAGGCAGGAGGCTCTGGAGGGACTGAGCCTGGTATGTGTCCTCCATGGAGGCCTCGGTCATGGAGAGGCACAGCCTCGCCTTCATGTCTAGGTGGTCATCAAGGCTAGACTTGATCCATGGGGTAGGCTACCTGTCACCATCCTGTTGAGCT